AAACGAGAAATATGTTAATAACTCAAAAATAGTACATTCGATATGTCAAAAGACACCATAAGAACCATAACAAAGTCTGGATCAATCCCCATTGAAATTATACAGGCAACCAAGAGGGTTTGGACACCCGGAAAACAAAAACTGCAAACTGAAGACTACACGAACTCCACAAAGAAGACTAAGAAACTCCACGAGGAAGACTAACAAAATTCAAAGAAAGAAAAATACAACACACAACTACTAATAACAGAATAAAACATCCCCTAAATCTCGTGGGCACACTACTGCGGCCACCAGAACCGGCACACAAATCATATCTCACAACACAAAATCCCAAGAGAGCTGCAAATAGAGTAAGAAACTGCGAAGTTACTCAAGCGCCTAATTAGATCCGACGAGGAGACGAATCTCAGTCTAATGTGTTCAATGAATCTTAATAAACAGCAACAATTGAAGCTTGAAGCTTCCCCGAGCAATGTAGAAAAGTTGTTATTCTCTCTTTACATTTTAATGTGTTCATTTCAACATTTTCCTTTTACTAGGACTGGTTGAGGCTTCATTTGGTATTTTGAAATTCTGTTCTGCTAATGGATAATCCAAGTTGAAAATTCATTTCCCGTAGTGGAACGTGGAAGATGGATGCATTTGACAGTGTATCCCAAAACAGACAGAGATCATGAAATGGGTCCCAATGCTCAAAACCCACCACATAAATTGCAACAAAAAATGTCCAGTTGGACTTGCCTATAATTTGCCAATGGGATTGTGGCAATCTCACCTTATCCACACTCCCACCACACCCTTAAATCACCTCCAACTCCATCTCATCCCATATACCACTATTTTCCAGTTTCATAATTTCCCATCTAAAAATCCTCAATTGTGCATCAAAAGAAAAAACAAAAAACAAAAAAAAAAAACAATTAAAAAGAAAATGGCAGCCATGAACTCCAGCATTTTGGCTTGCAACTATGCCAGGTCAGGTACTGAGCTTAGCTCAAAAGTGAGCTGTCTGCCCTCAGTTGCAACTCCAGTTCAAAAGTTGCCTGTGATCAGAGCCCAAAAGCTTGATTCTGACCAATCCGGAAGAAGGGCCGCCCTTCTCAGCCTTAGTGCTGCCCTTTTCACCGCCACTATCTCTTCTGCTGGCAACGCCGGTGTCATTGAGGATTATTTGGAGAAGAGCAAGGCAAACAAGGTTATTCTCAGTTTTTTAAAATTGTTCTAAAGGATCAGTTAAATTACACAAATGGCTTGCCTAACATATCAAAATATATCACCTGGTCCGATTAAGCTGAATGTTCTGTATTATTTGTTTATAAATTTAGTTGGTGAATGTAGGAATTGAATGACAAGAAGCGGCTGGCCACGAGCGGTGCAAACTTTGCCCGAGCATACACTGTTCAGTTCGGGACATGCAAATTCCCTGAGAACTTCACTGGTTGCCAAGATCTCGCCAAGCAAAAGGTTTCATCTTTTTTTTGTATTTGAATGTGATTTATATATAATATCATCTACTTTGTTGCTACACATGGTTGTATTCAATATCATTATTGATATGGCTACTCTTTTGCAGAAAGTACCATTTATTTCTGATGACTTGGCCTTGGAGTGCGAAGGGAAGGACAAGTACAAGTGTGGTTCGAACGTGTTCTGGAAATGGTGAAAGATGATGTAAAAACATTACTTGGAGCATGTATCTAATTTTTCTGGTTCAAAAGATCCATTTTGTGAACATCTATTATGTTTTTGTTTTATTTATTTGCCCTGCTACGTTTCTTGCTTCTTTGTATGCTATGTTGTTAAGTATGACAGTTGATTTATTCGTAGGCAGGACATGGCAACACACCAGCGAGTGTAAAATAAATCCAGATTGCAATTCTGGCTTGGCACTACCTCACTAATTATGAGAGTTTCTGTTTTAACTGATAAATAATCTTTATACAATAATGGCGCTGTTTCATTGCCAACACCATCACATGGCACATACTTTACTTTCCTATTAAAAACTAAAGATGAAACTCGCTCATCTCCCAAACATTTATATAAACTTCATAATCCAGTTGAAACTGAAGAAATCAATCAAAAATATCTACTTTTGTAACTCTATCTGCATATGAAAAAAATCAGGCTTTTTGTTTTGTCACATCTAAAACAAGCAAAAACCTTGCAAACAAAATTATATCTAACCTACAAATCATATATAATGAGCGCAAGTCTTCAAGATTTTGTGTGTGTCTGTGTGTTCTGTGCGCGCGCCAAACTAAAACCGGAACGCATTCAAACACCATGAAGAGGAGCTCCCATTTCTCCTCAGCTCCGAGCACGGCAAGGGCCACACACCATCACTAAAACCCGACACAAACTCGCAGCTCCACCTCACAGCCGTCGGGCGCAGCCCGAGTATCGTAACGTTCCTCAAACAAACATCCTCAAACGGAGCCCCCTCAATTCCCCCGAGCAACGGAGCCCTTCCCGAGCCCACACTCACCACATCACTCACGAATATCCCCTTCACTCTGGGCAGAGCTCGCGGGTCCCACTTCCCGTCCGGATGGTCGTCCGCGCCTCTGCTGAACCTTATCGGCACCTTCACCCTCTCCATCACCACGTTCCGCACGGTCACGTTGGTAATGTAGCCTCCCCTCCCTCGGTCGGTTTTGATGCGGACCCCAGCGGCGGAGTCGCGGATGCGGAGGTCCTCGACGAGAACGTTCCGGATTCCTCCGGACATCTCGCTGCCGATGCCGACGCCGGAGCACGTCGGGGTCGTCCCGGAGACGCGGCGGACGGTGATGCCGACGCTCGGTCTGGCGGCGGCGATGCCGTATTGGTCCCATCCGCTCTTGACGGCCACGAGGTCGTCGCCGCTCTCGATGTAGCAGTCCTCGATGCAGACGTTGGTGCTCGAGTCTGCGAGGAGATACGTTAGTCTCGTCGTGATGGTTTAAGGAAAGACGTTTGCAAAATGTATCTTTTCTTCCTAGTCATTCTCTAACCAAATATTGTATCTTTTCCTCCTTTTCTTGAAAAGAGGACCAATAGTTGGTCCCCACTCACTTAGGGCTTGATTGTTTATGGAATAATTTACTCAACTTTATTTTATACTCAAAATCTAACTCAACTTTAACTCAACCCCACTATCTTTAATATTATTTATAATTAAATAATACAAACCAATCATTCTTACACATCACATCAATTTTAATTCACTATTCATCCACTCATACAATTTTAACTACCTATCATTTTCAATCATTTATCTCCTACTTTTACATCAAATCAATTTTAATCATTTTATTTTAAATATTATTATAATTCATTCTTAAAATTTCACTAATAACTAACTATACCACCTTTTTCAAAATTAACTATATTTAACCAAAATAACTCATTTTGAACAAATTATTTCATAAACAATCAAGCCTTTACCCTCTTGGGTGACTCAAACACGAGGCCTATTGGGTCCCAAGTGAGGGGTGCTACCAACAGAGCTACCCCTTCTCGTCTAACCAAATGTATCTTTTAGCCATTCTGGATTGCGGAATGGCATATATACGAAGATTGTCGTTATATATCCATGACGTAAATGGTGACCCCTTACCGAGAGGTAATGTTTATTTGTTACACACGAAATGGTAATTAAATAGCTAAAAAAGGATGTTTTATGTACCAAACAGGTAGACAAGGTGGTAACTTATTACATGAACAGATAAAAAACTGGCAGATTATGGAATATTTTTTTATTAGATGTATGTTCGCCTGTTTAGTTTTTATAGTAGGTCTGGTGCAGATCTGCATGAAAGAGTAGGTGTAGGTGGACTTCTTTTGGGGAAACAAATGCATACTTTAACGTGACAATGTTGTAATTTACGGACCGCTGTAAAATCTGATTTTGGAAAAGTTGTAATGTTTCACCATGGAAGTATTACTGATGGTTTTGACTAATTAACATCAACTTTTTTATGTTATTCATGTGCTGTTTGTAGTTACCTGGGTCGATGCCATCAGTATTTGGAGCATTTAAGGGTGCCAAGATTGTCATGTCTCTTATCACGACATTGCTGGGGAAAAAGCATGGAAAAACTTGTCAGGTGAGATGTTAATTATACGGATTTTTTATTCGATTCCCTTTTCGGAGAGTATTTTTCATGACAACAGAATAATTAATCGAAATCCGAAAAGTCAACACTAGTGGTCCAAATCATTGAATATCATTTATGTAAACTTTTTTTTAACTCTTAATATATTTTTTTAAGAAAATTGATCTGAAATGGTGGAGAGTATGGGCTTGATGTCACGAGAACACTCTATTGATAGGTGATTCTTTTTTTATCTTTTTCCTGCGCTTTTACTAATTGTCCAACACTACAGACAACACTCACTATTATCTATGTTGTTGCTATTATGGTTCTCCTTTAAATTATGCTAGTATGCCTCAATTATGCTCGCTAGTGACAAATAAATAGTGCTCATATGAACTTTTTCAGTCCGACTATAGAAATTCTATTTACCTAGTTTTTTTGGCCTAACTCCTAACTTGAGAGTAAGAGAAGATGAAGGCACACCTGCTGTAAACAGGATGAATGGTCCAAAATGGAGAATTGCGAAAAGTGAGGTTGGATATGAGAATATTGCGAGAATTTACAAGTTCAACAAGGTGCCCTCTCGTGTGCTTTAGTGTCTTGTTCCACCAAAGCTCCCACCACATCTTCCCCTGACCGTCAATTGTGCCGTTGTAACCTGTAAATTAATAAGCAACAAGATCAATTGTACAATGTTTGACAAATTTACAAATACACCCTCGAGGGCACATTCCATTAGCCACATTCTTTCATCAAGCAAGAATAAGATTATTATTATTACTAGTATTCGATCATGTGCATTTGCACAGATGTAAATAAAATTAAATATTTTAAGTTATATTTATGTATATAATCTAAAAATTATAAGTTATATAATTGTATTATATTTCAAACATATAGTATTATAAGTTATATTTATGTATATAATATTTAAATTATAAATTATATAATAGTATTATATTTTAAAATTTGATCATTGGTTAAAATAAATAGTACACACGATTTGATTGTATACGAATCACTATATTGATTGTATAAAATGTAATAAATATATACTTTTTATAATTTTGAGTGATCATGACCAATTAATTAGCTGAAAAACATTACATTTATTATAACAATTGCTTATGTGATTTTAAGAAATTTTACTATGACATAAAAAAATATAATTTATTAATAAACAACCGCTTCATCATATAAAAAAATATTGATTTTAGTATAAAATAATTTTATGTAACTTTCATATATTATTTAGTATAAAATACAATTACTAATTTTAATATTAACTATTATATTATTCAATAAAATTATAATTATTAATCAATTAACATAAAACATAATAGTTTTTGTCTTAATTAACCCAAAAAAATGTAATGAAATATTTTCTTATTAATGAGATTGGGTGTATTAATGCCACATAAATAAAATTTATTAGGTTCTATTTATTAGGTTTTATTAATAATTTGCCACATAGGTAAAATTTATTAGGTTTTATTAGGTAAAATTTATTGCTTAGCTAACAATTATATATATATATAGATTAAATCTCAAGAATCTCTATGTACCTGTAATCACAACATTTTCCAAAGAATTCCCGTGAACAAGGCTTATGTGTCGTCCTCCTTGTCTCTCTCTTCCTCTTCCATACGAAGGCAAAGGCTCGATTATCGGCCATTCATCCGGCTCCTACTATCAAATATTAGTGTAATTAGAGAAATAAATGATTAATTAATCAATTACGCGTTCTTGATGGCATAACAATTAATATACCAGCGTAAAGAGATTGATTAATAAGTCAACAAAATAAGGTGGTACATTCTTTCTTCCTCATTTTGAATCTTATGCTCTTTTCCTATTTGTTCATAACCAATTTTGTCAAGAACTCGCACCATTTTTTTCCACATTTTGTCAAAATTACACTATTCTATTATTTAAAGAAATTCTACATGCGAGCTTCAATTTCAGCAAAGACCAGTAAAACAATCAATTATCTTATTGAAAATTTCGAAAGAGTGGTCCAGACTTGATTCCTAAGCTCAATTTTCAATGCCCGTAAAATAAAATCCCTCTTTTAATGGTTTCGAGGTTCAAGAGGCACAAGGATTCGAAGGAATAATAATTATATTATACTGGGTAAAAGATTTAATTGCTCACTTATGAATCAATTAAAAATTAATTAATTACCTGGGAGCCCAGGATAATTGCACCCTCCTCGAGAAAAAGCGTGAAATCGCTGGTGAGGTTGAAGCTCCCCGTGAGCCACCGACCTTTTGGAACATTCAATTGGGCCCCACCCTTCCCTTTGAACCCATCCATGTACTCCACCGCCCTCCGAAACGCCGCCGTATTGGACGTCCTCCCGTCCCCCACGCCCCCGAACTCCGCGATGGATCTCGCCACCCTACGCCGCGGCGGCGCCTCGAAGATCCCGGAGCAGCTGGGCCGCGAATCGCCGCCATCGGGCTCCTCTGATCCGGCCCGATTGGGTACGGGCGGCCCGAAGGGTGAAATCGCGTTGGTCGTGACGTGGAGGCCGATGACGGCGAGTGCCGCGAAGACGAGCAGGAGGACCACCCACGAAGGTCTCGTGAAGCTCGCCCTGACGGCGATCAGTAGCGGATTTTCACCTTCCATCGCCGATATTCATATGCCTAATCAGATGCACGAAATCAAAATTACGACGCAAACATTGTAGTATTTTTTTTTTTTTTTTTTANAAATCGGAGTTAGGGGAAACTGTAATTAGTTTGGGAGAAGGGGAGAGAAGAAGAAAGAAGGGTTGAAGAACATGCAAACGAATGCATGAGATTCTCTGTATCTGTCTGTATATGGGAATTGTGTTGTGTTATATATGTATTACTATTGCTATGTTTCTATATATGATTAAATGGAAATCATATGGACTTTGAGTAGTAAAGGAAATTTTAATAATCAGTGGAACGCCAAATGGAATATTATATTTATTCTATTTGTTAATTTATTTCTCAAAATAATGTCGAGAAACAGCGAGGATCCTGTTTGTGCGGTCATGGGAAAAAGACAAATCATTTTTCATTCTCACGACTGAGTTCACGTGATCCAATTGTAAAGTTTGAAACTTGGAAGGACGCGGAAGATGAATTTCAAAATAATAATAAAAATAATAATAATAATAATAATTAAATAGAATTTGGAGTTGACCAAAGTTTTGATTGTGAAGTGTGCGAATGAAAATAGGTTAAAAATCTTACTTTACAAGTTTGTTAAAATCTGGGGTTTGAGGATAAAAGTATTGTAGTAGAGTCTAAAGTAATAAGACCTACTCCAATGGATCGCATTTTTATTTTTACAAAGTGAAAACATAAACAACGAAGAGTTGAAAAACTGAGAAGACAAATCTCCATCCGGAGATCGCCTAGAAATCGTGCTAGCAACGCTAGATCGACACAATTACAACACTAAACAAAAACACTACTAAGCTCCAATAGTGGAGAATTATCGATCCCAACAAGATAATATCCGTTCACACTCAGACACATAGAGGCCAACGACCCAAAACAAAAACACAACACTTAAACAAACAACCAAATAAACAAAGACACAAAAACAAAAAGAAAAAAACTAGCTAAAACGAGCCCTTCCACAGCGGATCAATCGAGCCCTACCAGTAGATAAAAATCGACCTCAATGAGAGATCCTCGACCCAAGAAACTGCTTTCAAAATTGCCGAAAACTACCTAATCGAAGCCAAACCCAAGCCTCGAACCAAACCCAGAAGGCCGACTCGTCCCTCAGCCGAGAGAGCACCCAAATCGCCCCACACAACACCACAGCCCCAAACCCGCTAACACCA